ATGACATAGAGTGAAAAAATCCTATATTGTTAATGACGGAGTACTTTTTGTTGTTCTGAATTATTTATAAAATCTGGGTTTTAAAAAGCGTCAAAAAAAAGCAATTTTTTTTAACATTGTGTTTTATGGAATCGTTCTAAAAATAGCAATTTTCAGGAAATATTAGAACGCGTTTCTCAAAAAGCATAACTGTAATACACAAAATAAATGCTATTTCATTGTACATTAGACAATAGATTCATGATTATATGAATATGAATTTTCTTCAGTACAATGGCCTCAGGCCTATTGTACAATAAATCAAAAAAAAAAAAAAATACACAAAGAAGTGTAGAAAAATACATACAGAGGGATTCCTTTAAATAATTGTTGAATCTACTAGTCACAACTGGTTAAGTAGACTCTGTGTTTAGAAGCGTAGAATACAAATTTTGAAATTTGAAGTACAGATAAGTTGTCAAACTGCATTAAACAAAGAAATTCATGATTATACATAATAAACTAATGAACATTGTTATGTGATTTATGACCAATTTTGTCGAAAATTGTGACTAGGCTTCTACCTTAAATATTTTTTTTCGCGGATGGATATTATTATTTCAGTTTGTGGCTTTATACACGTGAATCCACGTGCGAGGTTATTTTTCAAAAACACGCTTGTAAAGTTAAAGTGTTGTTGATTTTCAAACATTTAAAACACTTCTCATGGGCTTGCAGTTGTTTTCTTCGATCAATGGACTTGCGTCTAGCAGTACTTCTGCGGTTCTTCTGACATTCATTAGATTTATCTGCCCATACTTTAAATACTTGATGGAAGTTCTGTCCATTTCTCTCAAAAGATGTTAAAAGGTCGATGACATCACTCCGTGCCAGTTGTAGCTTTTTTATCATTCTAGTTATTTGTGGAATAGCTTTCTTTTTACTTTCACATCTTACTTAACGTGTGTCTGCTAAAGCTAGTGTCGACAACACCTTAGGTCACCAGGCCCAGAAAGTCACCTTCATATACATCATACCCATGTTTCCGAAATAAAAGAACACACGCCACTCCGATATCCAAAGGGTTGACTAGCTTCTCTTGACTTCAGTATGAATTCAGTGTCTCGTAATATCATACTGAAATAGTCTGTATGTGTCCGATAAATTCATTTGTTAGGATTCTTTTTTTTCGGGACGAGTTACTAGTACATTCTGTGGGATTATAAATTTACCCATAACTCGTTTGTGCACCTTGTGAACACTTTCCACTGATGCCCCTCCCGATATGTCGATGTCGTCGACCTTAGCATCGTTTGTTATCATATTTATAGAGCTTCCATTGGTCTTACAGCCTTTGCACTTGACGGCACGTCACCGTGAGTTGATGTTCTCGACCACCAGCAACGTGGCTCCTTAACATCTGCTCGAAGACTGTCTTTTAGAACAAAGGTCACGTCTTATTGCCCTTGCAGCTGTTACGGATCAATTCATGCCGACCAAGTGTCTTGAATCATTATGCAACCTTCTCTGGAATAAAACAAAAACAAAACAAAAATACGTACGTATTCACCCAAATTTACAATTTTTTCCCCCGCTGTTTTGTTGTTATATCTAGTAATACAGTCCAGATTAATAAGATAAGCAGAACGCAGAAAAAACAATTCTTGAATATTTTGTTAGAACGCTACTACCCTCCATGATAACAGAACATTATAAAAGACATCCCTTTTTTTACATTTTTAAAGTGAACCACGTGACCATAGGTTAATGACCTGATGGAATAGCTGATCGTCGTATTGACAATCCTGAGGTCAATTGGATGGCCCGCTGCTTAAAAGCACGCTGTTAGGGGGTCAAGCACTTCATTGGCGCTCTCCAAATCACCTGCCCGTGGAATTGAGTCGAGTGATACGTGCAAACAGCGGTGCCTTTGATGCATGACCTTGTTTGGTGCTACAGCAGAAAAACTCAAGTACTTTCTGATTTTAGGCAGTTAGTCGGTGTGAAAATTGATCCTCGCATGCGGTCGGGCGACTCAACAGCTAGCTGACGATAATGTTGAATGGCGGAAAATATAAAATGAACACTGTAATAGAACTTTAAGTTAAAAAAAGAATTGCACGTTCGTCTGAATTGATATAACATTTACCCAATAAAGCATCTTAGATATTCGAATATAAAGGTATTTTAAAGTAAACATTTCCGCAATAGCTCCGTGTGGCACGCTGCTTAAATGTATCGCCCACACAGTTAAATTTATGGTTCGAAATTTATTTTCAGAGGAATGAAAAAATCTGTTCGAAGCACTTGTTTTAAAATATTTATTTATGAATAAATTAAAAACAAACAAAAACACCGTGTTTCTTAACGAGACGCATACACAGGTTTTCCAGATGTGTGATGATCGGTATTTTTTAAAACACACTTCACGCTGGAATGCATATATTAAAACGCGAACGAAATCAATGATCTCAGATGTACATGAAGTCTTTATTTGAACTCGATAACTTCACGGGGATATACACCTCTTATCGTAAGATACAAAAATTACAAAACATTACGATCAAATGTAATTTTAATATGATGTTCCAGAAGCATGGAGAAGTGCAAACGATTTCTATTCTGTGCCAGTCTCGTTAGATTGGTATAGAAATGGGTCATCGCAATCTGGGACATAGGCCTGTAAAATACTGGTACGGGAATATGAATATGTCGTGATTGGTGGAACGCAGATACCTTGGTGAAATAGATGTATGGAATATGTCACTTCCGAGGAAAACTTTGTTTGTTGATTTTTGGAGATATTTTATTATGATTTCGCCAGGTATCAAGTTGCACTTTTGATACATATGTTCTAACGCTCATCCTACAACAAAAACACAAACGTGTTTGGTAGAGCACCAAAATGTCGGGTGAAATATTGCTAAAACACGAATATTGCGATAATACCGAATCTGTGAGGATACCGACATTGGAAAAATCGAAGTGTTACAAAGTACATCAATGCTTGGAGAAAACTATATTGCAAGAACACCAGTTTGGAAATAAAGATTGGGTATTGCACAGACACTAATGTTGACACCAATTACGAAGGGCATGTCAGGAATACTTAACACTTAGCCGGAGAATAACGTAGAAAGGGGGAGGTATGATATACGTGTTGTCAATGTGCTTCCAACGCTCGGTAGTGTTCCTCTGACGCATGCAAGGAGATTGACCACAAGCATCGAGTACAATAAATACGGACAGGATAATAACTATGTAAGCGTAATTGGAACGCCTCGTCTGACGTGAGTAGTTGAACGCCTAAATGGTAGGGGGTGGGGTGAGCTAATGAGTAATGTAGGTAACTATGCCTACTAACTGGTGTAACTCAGAATGGCGTGAACCGTGAACTTCTGGACCGGCTAGTGCTTGCGGGCACGGTGCGGTATGGGAATTTGCCTTGGGATCGACACACTTGCAGATCTTTCCGGGAGAATGATGTGTAGAGGCGATGAGAAATCATTAAGCCACGCGGAGATAACCATCAAATAAATTCAAATCGTTATAAAGTGATTCCCGTGTATGGTGTCGACTGGCCAGAATAGATAATGAACTACGACACCCTTACTTAATTTAGACTATACGACACGCGCGCCTGTCAACGCTGATTGCTCATTCAAGTTCTTGCAACTTCTCTTTATCGATGCGAATATTAATGAAATAACACTAAATTACGTGGTTATCTACGTCGTATCATCTCTGAACCCAGCACTGCGAATGTCAAATATAATAAATGAGATAGCTGTGAGTGATATGACCGAGGTTAAAGTTGATGGGCGCAACAACGGCCCCTTTGTTCAGCTTGATCGAGTGCATTCGAAAAAATCTATAAGTGTTGCTGAGAAATTCCACAAAAGCTGGTGTCGTTTATTGACTAGTCAGAGAACAGTGCGTCAAACGATAAAAAATATAACTGGAGACGTTTTATATACACAGGGCTATTATTCACCACATCCACGTGATGCACGTGATACCCGTTGCTTAATCACTCTGAGGCAGAACAGAGAGTCTCAAAGTTGCTACAGCCTGATGGACGAACATCAAAGTGGGGTTAAAAATTGAACATAATACCATTAATGGAACGTTGCCATCATCGTAAAGTTTACTTTGCCTCAAGTGTTTCTTGAAAGAATGTGAAACAAATCCACACACACACAGGATGATTATCCTACTGGCTTGGGTGAAATGTACACTAAACACACTTCAGTTTTATCCACCATTCTTTCATTTTTTCGATTAAAGTTTTATAATCGCATGTGCAACAATTTTACATTTTAATTAGTTCGATGTCAGATAATTTATTACTTTTAGTGTTTCATGATAATGGCACGATGGCACATTATTGTCTAAATCTTATATGCGCGGCGTATGCCGTTCCGATTCATGCGACTGCACAATCTGCATTTAAAAAAATAATTCAGGATGACGTTATTTTTTGAAAGTCTGTTAAATTATGAGTTTACTTCAATTAAGAACCCATCTACTAGATTTTCTGCTTCAAGAACATAAGCTGCGCCCGGTCTTTGTCAACTTTTTTTTGAAGCCAAAATGACCATTCAAATATTGAATGCGTAAACACATGGCTTTATTTCCTGTGAAATGGCGTATATCTATGATAACTGGAAAACCCTTTATATACCCCTTAACATTCAACTCAAATACCGGATGTGATTATACCCGGATGATAAAATACCCGGATGAAAGATACCTCGTTTACCGTAAACTGTTATTTAATTTTACAGTCTATGGACGAGAATGTGAGGTTTGTCAATCCATTGTTGAGCTGGCAACAATTCCTTAACCATCCACATAACAACGGAAGAAAATCGAACAAACGGCAACGGGACCGCAGTATGCTGGTAAACCCCGTGACGAGTATTAACAGCGCCCTCATACGACAATAACGAGTCTGTCCCACTAGTTCTCGTCGTACGTTGGCGCTGTCCAAATTTGTTTCGTTTTCATTTTATTTTCAGTCCACAAGTGTAGACTCAAGGCGAACGTGGATCGACTTTGTACGCCACCATGACAGAACGAATGGAAAGAAAGAGAAAAAGAAAGGAAGAGATCGCAGTAGTGTGGTAATTCTGATAATATAAATACATCATTTCGTTATGACCTGGGTTCTGTTTAAAACTTACAAAGTCGATAATGTGACGTCACCTTTTTTTTAGTTTCTAAATTATTTTAGACAGGGAAATTACTAAACACTCACGTTTTCAAAATCTGAACACAAATATCGGGGTCCTCGAATTACGTGCAAGCAAACAATGTATTTTACACGGGTTCGGTACGTTGCTATGGGACCCACATCGAGCACGAGGTGTCGAGCAGATCACCGCACTTTAATTTTAAAGAGCATCATTTACCCTTCATAGCGTGACGACTGTAGCGCTCCAGAAGCGCCTCTACCTTATTATCCTTAGCACGGATACCCTCATTTTTATTTGCATACTGTCACTCACTTTGTGTAACGTTTTGTCCAGAAGTAATATTCAATCACGCCCAGCTAGTAGTATACCTTCCGAAAGTATTCACTATCTCTCTTATTTACGCCTTGACTACGTGTTCGCATACAGCCCCGTGATTCAAACTCACGCCCAAAAATGCAATGCCACATTTTACCACCTCACAATCAAAACATGACGTCGCTAATTATATATTATTAGAATGGTCCCCCAGGTCCAGCAGGTCCAGTCGGCCCTAGGGGTCCGCCGGGTCCACGTGGTGCAGAGATTACAAAAGAAGACATGATGATAGAGTTCAAGAAAATGGTAAAAGGTGAGATATATTGTATTTCGTATCTATACCAAAAAATAACACAATGTTTTATCTGTGATATATTGTATTTGTTGAAATACTATAACGCATCACCGGTCCCATGAGACTTTGTTAAACTAAACTTGCTACAATGTCGTGCTACGAATTCATTGTTTTCGTACATAGTGGCTAACCGCACTGTAATATTTGTTTATGTGTATAGAGGCAGCAGAGAAGCGAGCTGAACGAATCATTGCATCGCAGGTACGTCACATCCGGCTCAGCTATTTTTTTTCCATATTCAGTCTGAACGACGCACCTTCATTTGCATATTTTTAAACGTGGCGTTTCCATTGACGACATAACATTTTGCAACATAATCTACATCAATCAATGCTAAAGCTATGTGAACCACATATGTAGTTGATTGGAGACTGTCCCTAGCAGTGCAACTGTCTAAAGTTAATGGCTTGTAAATTAAAAAGGGGTATTCAATCGTTGTGAATTTAATTAGGAAACATTGTCACAACAGGGCTGATGAATAACAACGTACGGTAAAAACACAAATGCTCATGGGTAAACGCTTATTTGTATACAACGACACGCTACGACCGTCTGGCGCATGCGTAGGTGACGAATCCTCCGCTTTAACTATATACTTCGGAATTTGTTGTTATTTTAACAAATATAGGCATGACTCATTTGCAATCAGTTTTTCTTACTGGATGCCTCCAATGAAGTGCTGATATTTCCGTCGATATTTGTGATTCGCTGTCACAGTCGCGGTTGTTTGTGACGAGAGTTGGGCCAAAATAAAAACAAAACAAAACAATTATATATATAAATATGCAAATGTAGGTATCAGACTGCATATTCAGCTTATGGACAATATTTTTTCTAGATCTAAAACACAGATAAAATAATATTCAATACTGTTCGGATCGAATAGTAGTACATTTCTTCCTTGAACAACATATTCTCACTAAATATTGCCATCCATAATTAAAAAGTAAATATTTATTTTGTAGTGTCCCGGATGCTTGAACCCAGTTGGAACCCAGAATGGAACACAAGTCAGCGCCCACTACGACTGGGATGACATCGAGGTCATACCACGTATTCCTGCAGCCTTTCATTGCAAACTTCAATCAAATGTCGACATTGCTCAGAAAAGTCTCCAAGAGGTTACTAACTTTCAAATTGTGAGTAAATGATTCACACACGGCTAAATAAACGAACAAATTACACACACAATCAATGAATGGTCGGATTTTGTCACGTGATATGCAAATTTGTCTTTGCCGTAGCACTAATGATATCATGTGAATATGGTCGCACACTGAATAAGCAATCACGCACAGAAAGCTAAAGAAGCTATACAGTAAAAGCGACCTTTGTTTTTTTTCTCTACAGCCATTCGCTGGTGGTGCGTTCAAGCGGGGTCAAGGGTTAGATATTAAATCAGGGCGATTTGTGGCGCCGAGGACGGCGATATACCAGTTTTCTGCCAATATGCATATTTTCCATCGTGTTCCCAAGAAAAACAAAGAGGGCAGGAAACTACGGAGTCGAGACAATGTTCGGGTGCTGATTTGCATAAACTCTCTCTGCCATAGGCACACGTAAGTACCAAAGGGGCCATATATAACACATGGTTTCATTTTATTCAAAATGTCCGATTGGCGGTCATTTCTCGCATTACTTGAATCATAGACCCTAAAAATCATGATTTTTAGCGTCTATGCTTGATTCCCTGTTGTTTTTTCTAATGAATGTAAATACATGCACAATAAAGAGTTCCCGTTTTCGAGATTACAGAGTTCCTTTTTTTATAAAGAAAACTGCAATATTTTTACCAAGTAAAATTATATTTATTTAAAGTTGTTATTCATTCATTTATTCAATAAATATAAATGAAATGCAGAAATATAGAGAATAGAGTATACTATGTTTTGCTAATTATTAAAATTAGTAATGATGTAAATACGAAATAACACGTTCTAGACAACTTGGTACATTACTAAATTTGCTTGTAGAAATCTGTTGTTTATATTTTTCCCCAAAAACGTAAGAATCTTACAATGTCGTAAACGGAAAGTTCTCGTCGTTGATTGATTGCAAAAGTATTCTTCTGCTTATGTGAACCATATCTTTGTCGTTGGGTAAAACCCATGGAGCGACACGTATGACGTCATATCTGCATTGCACACACCAATGTTTCTTTCCACTTTGTATCTGAAGTAAAACTTCATATGGCCCAGAAACCACAGTATAAATCAATGATTGAATCGCATTAAACGGATTTAGAAAGACTGCAGATGTAAAGCTTAGATAGATGTTTTACAAACTTCAGTATACATTGCCTTATGAATTATTGGTGAACCTCTTTTTTCAGATCGCTAGAGTTTATCTCAGGACTGGAGAGCAACAGTCGGGTTTTTACGGTCAACGTAAATGGGCTTCTGCAATTAGAGGTATGCCGAACCTATCTTTGTATATCTTTGTATTATGCTATCCTATATTTGACGATGGGCGTTCTAGAATTTCCGTAGTCATATGCCGTAATCTGGTTGTTGCATGGTACACAAGTATATAATATAAGGTTATTACATAGGAAGCCCATGAACTATGATCAACTGCACGCAGTTGAGCGGGGGATGTGTGTATCGACAGACGAAAAGAATCAAAAATAAAATCTATAAAAAATACTAGCTTAAACAATATTAGTTGCTGTTTAAAATTTTGCCAAAGACTTACTTTTATATTACCGGTATCACTAGAATAAATAAAAAAAAACTGCAAAAATTGACCCCATTTACGAATATTTAACGGTTGCCCGAAAGCACGGCACAGTTAGAGGCGTGGCCTATTTAGAATGTGTCAACAACCAATCACAAGACTGGTTACGATCCAGTCAGTGAGCGAGGCTAACCGAGTCGTAAACTCGGTGCGATTCTTAACCAGTCGTAATATAGTCTCGCGTGAGTTGCGCGTCACAGAGCGCAGTGGGTGATTAAAGATGATAGATTACAGACACAGAAATTAGCAAGAATGCCACTGTATTCAAAGCACAAAACGAACGCAATGCACGCTCTATGAATAAACAAGAACACTAGCAAAACAACACAAGACAACACTAAGCATTCATTTGACAGACTTACCGATGGCTTATATTCTTAGAAATGTAAGCATGTATGACGATGAGAAGCTGCATTGTTCGAGTTATGAACATTAAATTATGTAAACATCGAGTTACCATAATGACCACGCCCATTTTGCGAAACCACATCGAAACTGTAACTTGATGTTCAATTAACAGTGAACAGAACTTCGAGTTACGGGCAACACACATTTTTGTTTTTGTTGCACGTCCAGCTTTGGTAACTCTAACTTTAATTAATTGTTACCCGAACTTCGAGTTATGCCTAGCAATAAAGACCACACCCTTAGCAACCACGCTTATGTTGAAACCTCTGAAACCTCAGGACTCTAACTTGAAGTCCAACCCTACCGCATAACGATGTATTTTGTTTAAAATGTTCTTATTTTCGTATTTGTTTCAGGCTGAACAATATGCGTCGGTGTATATTGACAACAGCTGCAGCAGAGCAGTTTCGATACAAAGCGGTTCAGACTTCACAGGAATCATGATCGGTGTCTGAATCAGCCAACACATGAGGGCGCTGTTACTCACCTACCTTCCAGTGGACTTGAACCAGTCCGGCGACAATTTTGTTTGTTTGTTCGCCGCTAAATATACTCTTGCACACTCTGAAGATCATATGTTAGTTATTTGGAGCAGTTAAATACCATCCAAAAAAAACCCAGCAGTGTGAAGACAGTAACTGTACTTGTCGAAATCATCATGACATCATGTCTGACGTCACCAATGACTGTTCGTCATGAATATTTATGTAAAACCTATTATTTTCAGGTTGATATCGGTATTAGTATAGTCAATCAAAATAACGTTACCTCGTGAAACGCTCGTCACCCGCATGTTTACAGTTGTTAAGTTTGAACTCAGGATCATATTTTTGTGACTATTAAGTTTTTGAATTTTTTTTTACTATTTTAATTATATCCAGTCTTAATTATATTGTATATAAATTATAAACCTCTTGAAAGTTGAAATAACATTTAAAAGATAATTGTTGTTATTTTAGATACATATTCGATGTTTTTCTATAGTTCATATAATATACGTAGGACATAAGTTATTCACATTTAGCGTCTTTACTTTTAAGAAATATTTGACGTTTTGTATATATTATGTTCCTATATTGCCCATAATACATTGCGACTGGGTGTTATTTTAGATACTTCCGGAAAGGAGAATGACATTTCATGATGAATGGGGACAGCAAACAAAGGATCCTCGTTTTGGTGTCAAGAAATCATGCTCGTGACACAAAGTCACGTCACGTGAAAACTGAGTTTAAACGTTAAAACCAATCATTGCCGTTCAAAGTCTTGGTTCTCGTCCATATGTTTAGTAAATTCAATCCGGAACGAGGTAACCACACCCACCCTCCCCTTGATGATTTATGCTCAATTAGGTGACGTTATTTTCAAATGTATGAAAAGTGGTTAATTTGGAGAAAGGTCGATTCCCGGACGAGAAGATGACAACTGTCTTACCTGTATATAAATGAGCAAGTCTCAATGGGAATAGAGATTCATTGAATGGTTTCATAGATCGTACACGCAAATGTTCACTGAAATCTCGTTAAGAACGGGGAAGTCACGAGAGTTGTGTTTGCCCTTCAAATAATGATCCGACCTTTCCCGTCACAGTGCCCATTGTTTCAATGACCTATATAACCTTAGTATGACGCAATGACGGGAGCAAATGGAAATTATATGAGGAAAACTCAAGTTTTGTGGCTTTCAACAAAATCCCAGCAGTCGTTGCATCTACTGTCTATCGTATTAAACGTTGTCTGAGTAGATTGCTTAATTAATGACAATCTATATAACTGTTTTCTAGTTTAGCAAACATGACAACATATAGCAATATATGCAGTACTATCATGTTATTAAAATTGCCTGTCATTATATCACCAGACCCATTTAAAGATCAGCTACAGGTAGTGTGACGTTAGACAGTGTATTTTATTTCTAAAAAATCGATCAATGTGGATTTAAATGTAGTGGCGAAATTAAAATCTTGTTAAACATTTGGATTTCAAGACGTTCGAAGCTAAATAACAAGCGGCAAATGAATCTGTACCATTGGTAAACGAGGCTATATCAATGTGAACGAGGCTGAACTAAAGGCGAACGAGGATATAACAATGGCGAACGATGCTGTACCAATGGTGAACTAGACTGTATCAATTGCGAACGAGGTTATACCAATGACGAACTATTTTAACCATACTGTAATAGAACTATACTACACGGAAAGGTTGGACACTGGTCATTATCGACAACGACACTCGGATGAAAACATTGCACACCAAAATAATACTAGTGGGATTCTCGAATGTTCATAGTTTATAAAACAATCCCAATTTAAAAAACAAAAACAAAAAAACAAAACAAAACGGGTATAATGGCTACTCTGTGCATTTGCATGGTTTAAAACTACTCGCTGTTAAACTCAGAAAGTGGGCGTTACACAAGGGTCAACGGGCACTAAAATGTAACTTTTCAGGTTTTCAGAACTCAATTACTGAATCAAGCGACTCTGACCGAATTGAAAGTTCAGACTTGTATCCTGTCACGAGCATGCACAAGATTTGCAAGTGATCGTGGAACTACACAGTAACGTTTTTTCTGTAAAAAAATATATTAAAACGGGAATTATTGATTCGAGTTAAGTACTCATTAACATGAGATTTATTCAAGCGATTCGAATATTCTATATCGTTGTAAATATAAGCAGAAAGATTGCATGTGTGTTCGGCAAAGAAGTTATGTGTAAAGGGACATCAGCTTATCATGACAATAGACACCTTATTTGCGAATGGTAAGGCCCACTCACTGTCTAATTCGATTCACCAGTCTGTTATTCGTACCTTTAAGACGGCGTCTAGTCAGGGGAACAGTAGATGCAACGACGTTAGAGAAAACTCTCGCTTCAAACTAAATCTCGGCGGTCAAATATGAATAGAATTAATATTGTACGAAGGTTTGACTGATCCCAAATAAGTTAGTGCTTATAGGATCAGATCATGGCTTCATCTATGGAATTTAACGTGCATTGTAGAATTTACCGAATATGAATGCAGCTTATACAAGTCAATTCCCCAACGTGTACAATCAACAAATTAAATGACATCATAAACGAATTTGATCGGTGCCCAAACGAACATATTATCCTGTCAACGTCTGTGTAAGACGCCTCAAGTGTTGACAGTTGTTCGTACCTTTGTTTGAATGTAAGCCGTTACAGGGAATATAAATCAACATTTTCAATTTATTATTTACATAAAGTGTGTCGCATTTGTATAGTTCAGTTGACCTCAAAATAAATATAGTTGTTGAAAGGCAATCATGAAAGTTTCATTAAATACATACATTGACGTCGATCGCGTTGAGTCAAGTAATTACATATGTCACCAACACGATATCTTGTACATATTCTATCTTGTACATTTCAGTACGATCTATATTCGTTAACGATTTAAAAAAATATATTTGACCCTGAAGCAATTCTGGCAATATCCCGGATCGACCTTGAGCGTTATGGAGACTGAATCGTTCTAATCACCGATGATGATAATGTTGTCAATGCGCATCATTACCCCCAGTTTAAGGTTTCGTGCACTTTGAGCTATTTTCATATACAAGAAATTTATTATCATAATCGTAATATTCCTAGATACTATGTGTATGACGACGAAACTGATGAAATTAAGCAAATTAAGAACACATAGAGGTATGGCCAAGGCCAGTATATGTACCCAAATAATGTTACTAATAATTATATTCAATCATCTACTTTGTCATGTATTGTGTGGAATGTGAACGGTCTGAAAACTAAATGGACCAATCCTGACTTTCTGTTATTCTTATCTAAATTTGACATTATTTTCCTTACTGAAACATGGAGCACACCTGAAAGCAAATTTGAAATTAATGGTTATGAAAGCTATCACAATTCACGTATCAAGCGCATGCGCTATGGTCGTACTTCTGGTGGCATTAGTATCTTATATAAAACAGGGTATTTTAATGAGGTGAAATTTTTAAACAGTGAAGCGACTG